GCACTACACAGCTACAGAAATCAAAACTGTGTGGAACTGGCTAAAGTACACATATAGTACACTGACATACAGACCATAGAAAGAGAACCGAATGCCCCGAAATATACCTTTACACGCAGCATTATTTATAATAGACAAGTTATGGAATCAACGTAAGTGTCCATTAATGGATGAATGGATAAACAAAATATAATGTGTGTGTGTGTGTGTATATATATATATAGCATTTTCTTTATAAAGATTATTTATAATTCTTTATAAAGAATATATATTCTTGGCCGGGCGCGGTGGCTCAAGCCTGTAATCCCAGCACTTTGGGAGGCCGAGACGGGCGGATCACGAGGTCAGAAGATCGAGACCATTCTGGCTAACACGGTGAAACCCCGTCTCTACTAAAAAATACAAAAAACTAGCCGGGAGAGGTGGCGGACGCCTGTAGTCCCAGCTACTCGGGAAGGCTGAGGCAGGAGAATGGCGTAAACCCAGGAGGCGGAGCTTGCAGTGAGCTGAGATCGCGCCACTGCACTCCAGCCTGGGCGACAGAGCGATACTCCGTCTCAAAAAAAAAAAAAAAATATACACAAAAAAAAAAAAAAAAAAAAACCAGAATATATATTCTTTATAAAAATATATATAAAGGAACATATATATGTTCTTATGTTCTTTATATATGTTCTTATTATGTTCTTTATATATGTTCCTTTATATATGTTTCTTTATATGTGTTTCTTATATAACGTTTCTACTATATATGTGCGTGTATATTTTATATATATTACAAATACAACATAGTCTCACTTATATGTGGAATCTAAAACAATGTTGGTTAGCAGAGGCTGGGTGGGGTGGAACAGGGTGATGTTGGTCAAACGGTAAAAAGCTGCATCTGAACAGTAGGAATAAAGTAAAGTTACGGATATATTAATTAGTTTGACTAAATCATTTAACACTGTGCATATATACACATACATAATATATATTTTACATAATGGCATCACACTATTTGTAGTTGCAATTATAATTTGTTAAAATCATTAAAGTATTAAATATATAACTACATATTTATGATTATCTTATTTTTGACAAAGCTGTCAGGAAAATTTAATGGGGAAAGTGTGGTCATTTCAGCAAATGGTGCTTGGACAACTGAATGAACTTAAATCCCTATCCCATATCATATACAAAAAGTAACTCAAAATAGATCACAGACATAAGCACACAAGGTAAAACTATTAAATTAAAACAGAGAAGTAAATCTTTACGATCTTGGATGAGGCAATGTTTCCTTAGCAAAAACAAGACAGTAAAAGTAAAATATAAGCAACAACAACAAAAAAAATGATGAATTTGTCAAAATTTTAAACTTACATACTTCAAAGCATACCCTCAAGAAAATAAGACAACCCATAAAATGGTAAAACATTTTCAAACCATATATATAATAACAGACTTGTAATCAGAATATATAAGGAACTGTTAAAATTGAAAAATAAAAATACAAATAACCCAACTTAAAGATGGACACAGTATCTGAAAAGACATTTCTCCAAAGAAGATACACAAATGGCCATAATCACATAAAGAGATGCTCAACATATTTAGCCATCAGAGAAATGTAAGTCACAACTACAATGAGAAACCACTTTATAGCCATCAGAATAACTGTAATCAAAAGGATAAATAACAACAAGCATTGGCTAGAAATTGGGGAAATCAGAACAATACTCATACACTGTTGGTGGGAATGTAAAATAGTGAAGTCAACTTGGAAAAGTCTCACGTTCCTCAAATTGTTAAATACAGAACAATCATGTAACTCTTCTACATATATATCCAAAAGACACAAAAACAGGTGTTCAAACAAATTTATACACCGATGTTCATAGCAGCATTATGCATAATATCCAAAAAGTGAAAACGACTCAAATGTCCATCAACTGATTAATGAGAAAACGCAATGTGCGTTTATTGAATGTTATTCAATAAAACATGTGAAGTACTAATGCATGCTACAACATGGATGAAGTTCAAAAACGTGGTAATTAAGGCCGGGCACGGTGGCTCAAGCCTGTAATCCCAGCACTTTGGGAGGCCGAGACGGGCGGATCACGAGGTCAGGAGATCGAGACCATCCTGGCTAACACGGTGAAACCCCGTCTCTACTAAAAAATACAAAAAAAAAAAAAACTAGCCGGGTGAGGTGGCGGGCGCCTGTAGTCCCAGCTACTCAGGAGGCTGAGGCAGGAGAATGGCGTAAACCCGGCATTTGCAGTGAGCTGAGATCCGGCCACTGCACTCCAGCCCGGGCGACAGAGCGAGACTCCGTCTCAAAAACTAACAAACAAACAAAAAACCAAAAACGTGGTAATTAGAAGACACAAACCACAAAAGACCACATATTGTATGATTTTAGTTATATAAAATGTCTAGAATAGGTAAATCCACAGAGACGGAAAGTAAGTTGGTGTTTGTATAGTGCTGAGGGAGTGGGGGATGGGGAGTGACTGCTATTGGGTAGAGTTTACTTGTTGGATCATGCAGCATTCTAAACTTATAATTGTAGTGATGGTTGCACAATTCTGTGAATATACTAAAAGCCACTGCTTTATACACTTTAAATGAGCAAAGTTTACAGTATGTGAATTGTATCTAAACTTATAATTGTAGTGATGGTTGCACAATTCTGTGAATATACTAAAAGCCACTGCTTTATACACTTTAAATGAGCAAAGTTTACAGTATGTGAATTGTATCTTAATAAAGATGTTAAAAAGACAATCGTGTGAAAATAGGAATTATGGTAACATTATAGAACTGTTTACAAAGGATTTCAAAATTTTGTTTGCTAAATAAAGGAAGGTGATAATAGATACAGGAGAAGAATGATGGATGGGAGCAGAAGACTAGAAGGTTCAAATTAATCAAATGTGAGTGTTTCTTAATCAATTTTATTGGAATTCTTCAAAAGAAAAGAAATACGTATTTTACAGTAAAAGATTAGACCAAAGTCAACCTTTCAATATTTTTCAGCATCCATACCTGGGTAATAAAATCCATGTGAATCCTCATTTTTCCTTTTGCTGAATGAATAGAATATGTGCAATGAAATCTGACTTCACCAAATTTTCTGTAAACTTTCCCAAGCAAGTAATTAACAACTTCTCTTTTAACATTCTGTTTACCCCTACACTCAGATTGCCAAAGAAATGTTGACATTTAACAATGCAATCGACATCCAATTTGCATTGTTTGGTCAAAATGAAAATCTTCCTGAGGGTCAAATATTCCCAAGAACAAACCAGCTCAATAATTGAACATAACAAATAAGCAAGTCTGATTTACAAACAGAAACAATCTGAATGAAATATAACAAGTAGCAAAGATTATATTTTCCAGCCAAATATTTTGAAAGATTTTTTAAAATAAAATTCACCTTAATATTCAGAATTTCACTTACATATTTGTATCTACGAAACATATTTCTCAGCTGACAAAATAAAATATTTCAATTTAGGAAGACTCAATTCAACCTTTTACTTTACATATACTATGTTAATTTTAAGTTATATAAACATGGCAAAAAAATACATGTATTTTTAAAGAATGCCTGTTTTGCCAGCGTTGACTTATTTGACATTAAAATAAAAGTTAAAATGACCACATAAAATATTGCAAGTATCATCAGCGACATTTAATAAAGCTTAGGAGAAAATATTGACTAATTTTTTTTTTTTTTGCGTTTTCTGGAGTGTATTACAAAGCACCCTGTTTTCTCTAGAGTTCTTTATACCATATTTTTGTAAACCCAATGAAATTGTTCATTTGATCCCACGTGTATTGTGAGAGTCCTAAAAAAATATAGAAAATGAAAAACTGGAATTGAATTCAAATGGTTTTCTTTCCATTATTTTCTTTTTGCATTCCCAACCCTCTAAAAAAAGATGTTACTCATCTAAAATTACTATTATATCAACTCCAAGAACACATAAGTTATGTTTCTAAAAGTACTGAGTTTATTTTAAAGCATAGCATCAAGTTTGAATCTCATGAAACAAAGCCATCTCTTTATTATGTGTTGATTTTGGCAAAAAGTACAGACCAGCATACAACAGATATATATGATAACGTAGTTTAAAGTAAGAGGTGTTTGCTTTTGGTAATAAAGTAGTATGAAACTTACTATATAAATCTGTGCAGTTATTTAGGCCATATTTCTTGTCTTTTTAGAAGTCTTCAGACTTAATATTTTAAAAGTTGCCCTTTTTATTTGATACTTCTACTTTTTGCTGGAATAGAGGCACAGAAAATATTCTCACTGCTGAGACTAATACACTCATACAATACATGGCTAAACTGAAATTACAAGGTAAGATATCTTAGGAATAGTAGCATTTACGATTGTGAGTTGTTTTAAACGGGCAGCACTACTAAGATTTGTTTTAGCAAAAACTCAAGGGAAACCAATCTTGGAAAATGATCGCCAACCTGTTTTATAAGAGTTATTTAAAAGTCTAATCTCTTTGCTAGAGAATGCCGTTTTAAGCTTACTTGGCATCCCACTTTCATGATATACATATGCATATTTCACTGAGGGAAGGAACTTGGATATATCATTCCATCATAGCTGTGTAGTTAAACAAGGAAATTGTCCACTGAGCTCACTGAATGAATCCTTGCTTTTGTGTGTGTAGAAGATACTCTATTTGTCCACTGAATGAATCTATTGCTTTTGTGTGTGTAGAAAGATATCTATTCTGATCACTGAAATGTGCAATGAAAGGCTACATTTAGAAGCTCGGAAAATCTGTGGTTCAATACATAGAAGTTTCATCTACAAAAGAATGGGAATGTTATAATTACCATAGGAAAATTACAATGTTTAACATATCATAAACATTACCTGCAAGTACTTTTTAATCACAATAATATAGCATCAAAAAGGTACATATTCTTGTTCACCAAAATTAGTGAGGCAACTTAGGAATGAAAGATAGGTTATTTCTTTCTCCTTTTTAATGTAGAGATGCAGATACACTTAAGTTGCCATAATAATGGCAAAAAAGGAGGGAAGGGTGTTTCTTTGTAAAATCAATAGTGTACACAGGATGCCTTGGCAGGTAGCAACACTATTTCTATGACATCTACTTACTAATATAATTTTGTGTTAATATCCCATTCTCCTCACCATAATGTTCAAATTTTAATTTCATATTCATTTTGAATGTTTGGATGTGAAAACACCAACTAATCTATCATTTCAACATTAAGCCTATTTCTTTTGAAGCAAAGCTGATTCTGCTATTTTAAAAAAGCAATGGAGACTCATTTTTCAGGATGTTTAAAGCACAGTGCTTAAGGTTCATGCTTGCTGCTTTGCTTGCACTTCTGCTTCCTGAAATGAAAAACAAACAAAAAAAGATAAGTTTAAACATCACAAAGCAAACATGCATGTGTATTTTAGTTAGACTACATTAGTTCCAACTACTAAGAATATACAAAAGCCCCCAGAAGAGATTTCTTAAAAAGTTCTTAGTAGAAAAACTATGTAATACAAACAGATTTCTAGAAACAGATATACTAAAAGACTACCTAATCATTCTTAATGATTTGGAATACTTCCATGAAAGCAAGTGATATACAGTTATAATTGATATTTTACTTAAAATAGTCAGCTAGTTTCCTTTTTGTGTGATTTTTCATGAAAATTGAGTATATAAAAACATGGTCATTTAAGTTTAAAATTAGTTGAGTTTTGGTTAATTAAGGTTTAAATTACTTAGAAAATGTGCTATCCATTAAAATATTGTAGTTTTCATGTTTTATGATAGTATACACACCAAAAACTCAGGTTGTCTTCCTCCTCTGGATAGTGAGGTACTCACCTCTAGCACAGGAACTCTGACCTACATGTGTGCTCTGGTGCTCAACATAATACTTGACATAAAATAAACTTCAAGGAAAGTTTGTTGAACTAAAGATGAGTGGCAAGACTGACTCCGGAAAAGGAAACATCAGACTTAAGTTGTCAAAATCAAGTGTGCTAGACAACATCATTCTAAACACCTGTCACTAAATCAATACTTGACAGTCTCAGGAGGACTTATACTGTACCAATGAGTCCCAGTATTACATCGAAAAGAAGGGAGAAAAGCTAAAAGAGACACTAGATTTTTACCCCCCAAAAAAGGCAAAAGGAAAGAAGAAAATATGAAACGACACCAAAATTCATTCTTCATATCCTTAAAAAAAATAATGAAATATACTACTGACTCATTGATATGGTTTGGTTCTGTGTCCCCACCGAAATCCCATGGTTTGGCTCTGTGTCCCCACCGAAATCCCATGTCAAATTGCAATTGCCAGTGTTGGAGGAGCAGCCTGCTGGGAGGATATTTGATCATGAGGGTGGTTTCTAATGGTTCAGCACGATCTTCCTACTACTGCTTGTCTAAAGTGTGTAGCATCTCTCCCTCTCTCTCCTGCCACCATGTGAGGACGTGCTTCCTTCCCCTTCACTCTTTGCCATGATTGTAAGTTTACTGAGGCTTCCCGAGCCATGGCTCCTGTACAGTCTTTCTTCCTTCCTTCCTTCCTTCCTTCCTTCCTCCCTCCCTCCCTCCCTTCCTTCCCTCCCTCCCTCCCTCCCTCCCTCCTTTCTTTCTTTCTTTCTTTTTCTTTCTTTGTCTTTTTCTCTTTCTTTGTCTTTTTTTTTTCTCTTTCTCTTTCTTTGTTTCTTTCTTTCTCTTCTTTAGTTTTTCAAAATACCAACGTTTTCTTTCATTTTGTATTGTTTTCTTCATTTCCATTTGTAACTAGTATTTTGGATTAATACTAGTTACACATATAGGGAAAGAAGTTCATTTCCCTAAAGTGACACACTCTCAATCTTTCCTATAATTTGTCATAAATTCTGCAGCTCTAAGTTATCATTTTTAATGGGAGAAATCACTAGCATAGAAATCCAAAACAAAATTCATTTTAAAATTCTTTATAATTTGTCTTTAGAATACATCAAAGTTATAGTAAATTATTTACCTTTCTAATCATATTTTAATATCAAATATGTGGATTTATCTGAACTCTTTATTAGTGCCTAAAAGGAAATTGTCAGTATTTATAGTATGAGTCATCTAAATCAAACAGAGAGCTTTAGGAGCAAGCATATGATGTTCTCTTCTCCGTATTCCCAATGTAAACATCATTCCATAAAGGGACTGGTTTTAAATCAGATAATCCTGGGCTAAAATTTCAGTTTTACTACTAAATCATTATATATCATCGGACAAATTACTTAAATTATCCTCTCTAAAGTGCCTCTAATTACATCTATCCTAAAGAGATGGTGGAAAGATAAAATGAGATGTACCTGAGGTGCCTATCTCAGTGCTTGGCCCATTATAAGCATCCATCCTTCTTTTCTGCTTTTCCCCTCTCTTTATTATTATTATTATTATTATTATTATTATTATTATTATTATTATTTTGCCTAGCAGCTAAAATCAATACCACAGCTAAGTTTATGAACATGCAGTCTCTCTTGGAGAGGTAGTAAAAATAGGATGAATTCAGTATAAATAGGATTGCTTCAAATCTCACACCAGAGACAGACTCCATAGCTCCTCCCTGGAGCAATTTAATTCAACTAAAGCTAACAAGGACATTTCTCGGACCCATACCCTTTATTCTTTCAACATAAGTGAACATGCCTTTGCCAACAGAGTCGTTTTCCTTTCTGCACAAGCATCACCAAATATTTGTTTTGTAGTAAAAATATCAGTGATCTTATTTTATATCTCAAAACCATCATCTCCACTTTAAAGTAAGAAATGCCAGTACTAAGAAACGTTTCATATTGACAGAATTGAGTAAATCATAGTAAACAAATACATACCTTGTTTTAAACAATCAAATGTAAAAAAGAATACAACAATTATTGGTCTTACACAGAAGGATTCTTTGCTTTATGGAAATATTTGATACAGAGTACTTTTCAATATTAAGTTCTCCAATGCATTGGTTTTCAATCATTTTTTAAATGTAAAGAGTATGTTTGATAATTGTTTAAAAGTAGAGAATAGGAGACAATGCATATTAACTACCTTTCAGTCTCTTTTTTTGTCCTATCTATACATTTTAAATGTAATTAGAATATTAACCATACTTAAAAAATAATTCTGTAGCTCATTTACATATATGTTTTAACAAACTTTCATTTTCTTCATGACAGCCCAAGTTCATTCATTATATAAACGACTTTTGTTGACACTATCGTTGGATACTTAACTAGTCTCTAAAGTTCAGAATTAGACACAGTATAATACTTTGATTCATGTTTTATCCATAAAGTTCATTCAATGCATGAATTAATTTGTTTGAACCTCTTGTTAAATATGTTAAGTATTTAACTTGTTTTCAAAGTTTTAAGATTATAATTAACACTTTGATTCACGTTTTCATCCATGAAGCTTTTTCCACATATAGAATTATTTCACTTGACTATAATACCCAATGTGAAGCAACTGGGTGAAGGAGTACCAATATTTTTGAGATTTTTGATACGTATTTGCCATTTTGGTTTTCAAAAAGGAGTACCAATTTATGCCAACACTAGTAACGTATTATAGCAACTGTTTAAATCCACCCTTCTCAGCACTATTATCATTTTGTTTTATTTTTGCTGATTTTACAGCTAAAAATTTTATCTCATTTTATCATATAACTTTCATTATCAATTCACTTTTTCAATGTGGGTTAACTAGTTGTCTTTCTTATTTAGTATACTTTCTGTTCATCTGGTTCTTTGTTGAAGGCTTATTGTCCTGTTAAAGGGAAAAACTCTAGAAATTGAGCTTAGGTATAAAAAATAATCATTCTGACATGAAATGGATCACTTCTAGTCTTGGAAAAACCTATTAAATACCAAAATTAAAAATCTCCCTATCACCAATACACCCTTCATGTTCACTGTCAATACCACACCTATTCTTGTTAACCCAATCTATCAGCTCCCTCTTGCTCATCCTTCATAACATTCACTATTCTTTTACTCTATTACTATCCCCAGGCTTAAGAAATGATGGAAGAAACATGATAGCCAAGATGTCTAGCTTCCTATGGGCTCATCAATTCTAACTACTGCTGGGCTCTGCTTAGCTGTTTTTTATTATTACTATTATATATGATCTTAGCCTATTCCCTAGACAATTTTCAACTAAATCCATTCAATTCTCTTCAGGGATCTAATGTTTCAAATTTCCCCTCACTCCTTGCAGATAAATTTTCCTGCTGCCTTGTATTTTCAAATGTGACCTTTCCTAACCTTCCCACACATTAAAATTTCTCTTTACTTTTATCCTTTTCTCCTAATTCCATCCATTCTAAGAACATCACATGCTCTTTCCAAGGCTAACTTCTTCACTGGATTACTGACTTTTCTATTTCCTCCATGACCTTTGTTTCATTTCCCAATCACCAAGGTTAGAGATCCCATGGCTAACTTTAATCCTGCTCAGTTCTTTACAGGCACAAGCAACTCATTAATTCCTAAATCCTGTAACATGTTTTTTTGTTTTGTTTTGTTTTGTTTTTTGGTGGGGGGTGGCTCCTAAATCCACCTTTTCCTTTCCAAAACTGCTGTCCCACTTCAGGCCCTCTCAATCACTTTTCTGAACTCTTAGGGTATCCTCTAATGGGTCAGTGTATTTCTAACTCTTAATTTCTCCAATATTTTACAATCCTTACAGCTGCCAAATTTATTTTCTTAAGACATACATTAAATCACATCTTGTTTTTTAACTTTTATTTTAGGTTCTGGGGTATATGTGCAGATTTGTTATAAAAATGGACAAAAGCTGGAAGTATTCTCCTTGAAAACTGGAATAAGACAAGGATGTCTTTTCTTACCACTCTTATTCAACACAGAATTGAAAGTCCTGGCTATAGCAATCAGGCAAAAGAAGTAAATCACATCTTAAAACACAGAGATGGTTATATAGTTATCTCTCCCCATTTCCCATCATGGTTTTTGGACACCTAGAGGATAAAGCTGAAACTACCTAACATAGCAATCCTAATCTCACCCCAACATACATAGCCAATCTCGCCTCCTAATACAGCCTCCTCTATTTAATATGTCTTATTCTGGAGCCATGCTGTACTACATTCTGCTCTGTGAACACGCCATCATGTGCAGCGACATCCCAATGGAATGGTTTCTGTAGCTGTTTCTGTGAAAGATGCCTTAGTGTTCCGTCAATATTTTGGAATCCCCAACAGCTTAAATACTACTCCCTCCATGAAATCATCCCCAGCCTCTGAGTAGGAATGTATTATTATTTCCTCTGGTCTCCTACAGCACGTTATTCACACAAATCTTATAAAATTTACCAAAAA